GTGTGTAATGTCTCCGTGTAATGTGTACTGTATATAGTGTGTGATGTCTCCGTGTAATGTGTACTGTATATAGTGTGTGATGTCTCCGTGTAATGTGTACTGTATATAGTGTGTAATGTCTCCGTGTAATGTGTACTGTATATAGTGTGTAATGTCTCCGTGTAATATGTACTTGTGTATATAGTGTGTAATGTCTCCGTGTAATGTGTACTGTATATAGTGTGTAATGTCTCTGCGTTATGTGTACTGTTTATAGTGTAGGATACTCCTGATCTACACTATCGTGTAAATGATGATCCGAAATCATGTCATAAACACTTGCTTCCACCTGATATAATAAACTTCCTAGAAGAACAAGGCAGATCAATAATCTCGCCATAATACAGACGTTTTGTGAATTTTCAATTTGCCTCGAATTGTTATTGCATAAATATGAGGAAAAACCTACACTGATGTATCTTGTTTCGTATCACGGTGGTGCTTGGTTGGCATGGTAGGTCTAATTTGGGAGGAGTACTTGTTTGACAGCCCGGTCTACTCTTGGAGGGGAAAGAACGCCGGCACGCAGCTACACAAGTGACTCAATTTTTAACGAGCAAGTTTTAATCTGGGAGAAATAATATGGATATTGTCTTTTCTAAGAATTCAACATGTTTCGGTTCAAGCCATCTAGAAAAATGGCAGCTCTATATTTTCAATGATTCATTAGAATACAAAAGTCACTGAAAAGTTCTCTACGTTTGATAGAGAGGAAAGCCGATTTCCCAATCTACAAATATAATTACATCGCCTTATATGTAGCAAGCGCGTCGCATATATATGAAGTTGTAGTTGCCATACATCTCCGCCATACTGGGAGCGGGCCTGATACGGACAAGGTGCCGAACGTTATAAAAACATTTTAATTGACGCTAGAACGAGTACAGTGAAGTAAATACATCTCTCAAACAGACGGGAATACAATGTTTTATTTTAATAGCTTTGCTTCTGAGAATGAAATGCTGTAATTGAGTGGCAGGTTCTAGTCGGGGCCGATATGTCATCTACCGAGATCCGGGTTACAACGAAGTGGTTACAAATGTTAGCCAAGACAAACGTTTGTAGGGAGTTAATCCGTGATTCACTGCGCATTAAGGGATAATGTCTGGTTTGCCAGTATACTCTAGAATAGGAATCCATTTGATGTTGTTTAATGCATGATCACATGCAATAATATCCATGCGGCGTTTGGCCTGATCGTGTGAAGGTAATATTGATATGTTACAGGAGGTCGTCTCGGGTTACTAATATTACTCATAGGTTATACATGTAGATTGTGAGTTTTAGGGCACTTAATATAGATTTATAAATATCAGTGTATCGTCGTGGCTGGGGGTGGGTGAGGGAGGAAGATTATTGTTAATACCATTATTGGCATGACCCAGAGCCCCGCCCACTTGCCTGGGCAGTGACGGCCGGCAGCATGACGACGGCGTCCACCCTCTGCTGCAGTAGTCAACAGACTGCGCTCCGCGCTTCATCTTGTTACGTGCTCGAGCCGGTGAAGGCCTCTTGTCAAGCAAGCAAACCTGCTGTAACACTGGCCATGTACTTAAGCTGTATTCTAAATAAGCTTATGGGATAAATTGACATTCATGAAGATGGTAGATTCCACAAGATCAGTTGAATCAATTTCCTATTGACTAAGCGTTTTTACGACACAGCCTGTTAGGACGGACTGGCAGGGTAGCGCGGGAGATGAGCGTTGGGCCTCAAGAGGACTTAGGAGGATCAGTTGTGACAAAGAAGGTGTTGTTAGTAACAACGATACTCTTCAAATAATCACAAAGATTCGTCTGAAGACGACTTTGAAAACACAACAATGCATTTGACATAGTGTTGTTTGCACTGTAATATTTGTATATAAATAGAGATAATATTTGTAACGTTAATTCATAGTCGTATTTAACGTCTACATTAATTAACATGTACTGTGAATACGCAATCGACCACTAATTACTGATTTCCGACGCGGTAAGATCTGCGTGATGGTTAAATGGTTAACTCTGTACCATTTCCCTGAAAAACACTCGGCTTCCGCAGAGGAAGAACGCAGACTAAAAAAGCCACCAATTAGTCCTGATACAGGCTTGTGTACAGGCAATACACCACCAATTAGTCCTGATGCAGACTTGTGTACAGGCAAAAAACCACCAATTAGTCCTGATCCAGCCTTGCGTACAGGCAATATATCACCAATTAGTCCTGATACAGGCTTGTGTACAGGCAACACACCACCAATTAGTCCTGCTACAGACTTGAGTACAGGCAATACACCACCAAGTAGGCCTTATACAGACTTGTGTAAAGGCAATAAACCACCAATTAGTCCTGCTACAGACTTGAGTACAGGCAATACACCACCAAGTAGGCCTTATACAGACTTGTGTAAAGGCAATAAACCACCAATTAGTCCTGATACAGCCTTGTGTACAGGCAATACAGCACCAATTAGTCCTGATACATAGTGTGTAATGTCTCCGTGTAATGTGTACTGCATATAGTGTGTAATGTCTCCGTGTAATGTGTACTGTATATAGTGTGTGATGTCTCCGTGTAATGTGTACTGTACATAGTGTGTTATGTCTCCGTGTAATGTGTACTGTATAGTGTCTCAAAGATTGAAATTAATTCAATTGTTCCATGGACTGAGCATATATCTAGTGTCTCAGTCCATGGAACAATTGAATTAATTTCAATCTTTGAGACACTATACAGTACACATTACACGGAAACATAACACACTATGTACAGTACACATTACACGGAAACATAACACACTATGTACAGTACACATTACACGGAAACATAACACACTATGTACAGTACACATTACACGGAGACATTACACACTATGTATCTGTACTAATTGGTGGTGTATTGCTTGTACACAAGTCTGTATCACGCCTAATTGGTGGTGTATTGCCTGTACACCACCAATTAGTCCTGATACAGACTTGTGTACAGGCAATACACCAGCATGTAACAATACACACTCATTGCCAAATAAAACTTTGATGATTTAGTCTCTCACCAATTTATGATGCTGCCATTGGACGTTGGGCTGTGACCGCAGCCACTAACCCCGGTTATGTGAAGGCAGCTATTATAATTGTGAAATCATACCGCATCCTGTGTCTCGAGGATTAACGAGGCAATGACCCGTTCTAACAGATAGCCAGTGATATCGGTGCTCTCAACGATTTCTCAAAACCCCATGTATTTTAATTGTATAATTTGCAATCAAATTGCTCATTTATTCTACATTTTTTCTCAACAATGTGGCAAATGTACGGCTGCAATCGATTACCAGTTGCTGCGTACGTTATGCCACCTAGCGGTTATACACCTGGGACTCCCTTCCATTTATGGGATCTGCTCTCCCTGCAAATTGTCGTTACATGATCCGAGGGTTACCACATTTTGTGGTAAAGGCGATAGCCACAGCTACTCGGGGTATTTAACCACTTATTGTAGTTTTATGACCAAATACAAGTAATGACCAGATTAATTGAATGTCCATATTTGTATATGTCAGATAATTCGGGGTGCCAAAGTTCGGTTAGCAACAGGTATTACACAGTCTGGCCAGGATAACTTGAAAGTTTACCACAGTCTGGCCAGGATCACGTGAAAGTTTACCACAGTCTGGCTAGGATCACGTGAACGTTTACCACAGTCTGGCCAGGATCACGTGTAAGTTTACCACAGTCTGGCTAGGATCACGTGGGATTTAACCACAGTCTGGCTAGCATCACGTGGGATTTTACCACAGTCTGGCTAGCATCACGTAAGTAGGGCTGGTTGTAATTGCGTACTAATTTCCCCTTCCAACACGTGGTACACGTACCGCTGTCCGGATACGAACACGCGGCATCACTGCCCGGATATAAACATGTGACATCACTAGTACTGTCCGGATATAAACACGTGACATCACTGTCCGGATACGAACACGCGGCATCACTGCCTGGATATAAACATGTGACATCACTAGCACTGTCCGGATATAAACACGTGACATCACTGTCCGAATATAAACACGTGGCATCACTGTCCGGATATAAACAATCGGTAGAACTCTCCCGCTATGAACACGTAGTACAAGTACCAAGGTTTCTGATTGAAACATGTACAATGTACTAATGTTCGGGTATAAACTTGTAATACATTTGTACTACGGTCCGGCTAGAATTACATGCTACATGTGCATGCTACCACTGCCTGAAACATTACATTACGCTACATGTAGGTTGCTCATCTTATTAAAATACATTATTTCATATTTTGGTTGGGAACATTTGTATGATAGACCGGTTTGGAAGCCATTTGTTACCGGTATATACCCTAGTGCCGTTACACAAACGTTGGAGGCCGTTCACACAACCACGGATCTCAAATATTGATATGTACATGTACACTGCACAAACACCGTGCTAAATCTGGTTCCAGGGCTGTTCATAATTCAACTCTTTCAAAATAATTTGATAATTTCAGCTTGTGAAACATTTGTTCACGTGCACCGTCACGAGGAAGCATAACTCAATTTCCTCGGTGTGGAAAATTGAATATGCCCAACACTCTTGGCTGGAATTAACGAAAATTAATGGTAGTCACTATTTGCATAACACGATAGAGAAATGCAAATGACGTCACAATGCATTTATGAGTCATTTGGAAACTAATTGGAAATAAATGAAATGAAAAGAAAATATTCTGCGCTGTAAATTAGGTTTCTTCGATTAAACGACTTCTCCGCTTGCATGCACTGCTAAGTTCCGGTTGAAATACTGGCTTTCCTATTAACAACAAAAACCGCGCGAGCCTGAAATGGATGTGCTGCCTAAACAGAAAAGGCGAAAAAACTAACATATTCACACTGCATAGAAATAAGCATTAAACCATGCATCGGTTTGGTAATTCAACCTCAAATATTTTTATATTTTTTTTTTATATTGCAGGAATGGGTAGATGTTCACCTACGATGGAATGTGAGTGAATACAAAGGTGTAGAGGAGGTTCATATGAAACCAACCGAGCTATGGACACCGGATATCAAACTTTACAACTAGTAAGTAATACAGAACATTGACACAATAATGATAGTTATATAACTAATTAGTAACAGAGAACATTGACACAATAATGATAGTTGTATAACTAGTTAGTTACACATGACATTGACACGATAGTTATATGACTAGTAAGTTATACAGAACATTGACACGATAGTTATATAACCAGTTATATAACCAGTTAGTTACACACAACATTGACATGATAGTTATATAATTAGTTAGTTACACACAACATTGACACAATAGTTATATAACTAGTTAGTTACACATAACATTGACACGATAGTTATATAATTAGTAAGTTACACACAGCATTGACACAATAGTTATATAGCTAGTAAGCTATACAGAACATTGACACGATAGTTATATAATCAATCAGTTACACACAACATTGACATGATAGCTATATAATAAGTAAGTTACACACAACATTGACACAATAGTTATATAACTAGTTAGTTACACATGACATTGACACGATAGTTATATAACTAGTAAGTTACACACAACATTGACACAATAGTTATATAAGTAGTAAGTTATACAGAACATTGACACGATAGTTATATAATTAGTTAGTTAAACAGAACATTGACACGATAGTTATATAATTAGTAGGTTACACACAATATTGACATGATAGTTATATAACTAATAAGTTACACACAACATTGACACGATCGTTATATAACCAGTTATATAACCAGTCAGTTACACACAACATTGACATGATAATTATATAACCAGTCAATTACAAATAACATTGAAAGGATATTTATATAACTAGTAAGTTACACACAACATAAACACAATATTTATATAACTTATTAGTTACACACAACATTGACACGATAAGGATGGTTATATAACCAGTAAGTTGCACACAACATTGACACGATAGTTATATAACCAGTCAGTTAACCACAACATTGACATGATATTCATATAACGAATAAGTTATACACAACATTGACACGATAGTTATATAACAAGTTATATAACCACTCAGTTACACACAACATTGACATGATATTTATATAACCATTAAGTTACACACAACATTGACACGATATTTATATATCAAATAAGTTACACACAACATTGACACAATAGTTATATCACTAGTTAGTTACACATGACATTGACACGATAGTTATATGACTAGTAAGTTATACAGAACATTGAAACGATATTTATGTAACTAGTAAGGTACAGATAATATTGACACAATGGTAATATAACTAGTAGGTTACACACAACATTGACACGATATTTATATAACTAATAAGTTATACACAACATTGACATGATAGTTATTTAACTAATAAGTTACACACAACATTGACTCGATAGTTATATAACTTATTAGTTACACAGAACATTGATACTATAGTTATATAACTAGTCAGTTACACACAATATTGACATGATAGTTATATAACTAATACGTTATACACAACATTGACACGATAGTTATATAACCAGTTATATAACCAGTTAGTTACACACAACATTGACACGATAGTTATATAACCAGTTATATAACAAGTCAGTTACACACAACATTGACATGATAGTTATATAACCAGTTATATAACCAGTTAGTTACACACAACATTGACACGATAGTTATATAACCAGTTATATAACAAGTCAGTTACACACAACATTGACATGATAGTTATATAACCAGTTATATAACCAGTTAGTTACACACAACATTGACACGATAGTTATATAACCAGTTATATAACAAGTCAGTTACACACAACATTGACATGATAGTTATATAACCAGTAAGTTACACACAACATTGACATGATGATTATATAACCAGTCAGTTACACACAACATTGACAGGATATTTATATAACTAGTAAGTTACACACAACATAGACATGATGATTATATAACCAGTCAGTTACACACAACATTGAAAGGATATTTATATAACTAGTAAGTTACACACAACATAGACA